AAGCAGACGAAGGCTGGCGGGGCTGGCGGGGCTGGCGGCCCCGGCGGGGCGGCGCCGGCCTCTCGATCATCGTCCGTCGAGTCCACGGGGCCCGAATCCCCCGTCCGCTCCAACAAAGGGCACGCCAACAACGCCAACTCCTCTCCGCGATCCAGATCTCCATCCCCGCAGCAGCAGCAGCGCGCCAACAGTCATTCCAGAATAATTGACGGCTCTGCCAGAAACGGACCGGTGCGCTCGCAAATCCTCCTTCTCCTTCCATCATTCTTGGTGTCTTGCTGTTGACTCCCGTGTCTATTCGCATGTTTGCCTTGTGCCGCAGTACACCAACGGCCACGCCGCCAAGACCAACGGCGGCGTGCACAACGGCGACGACAGCGCCGTCTCGGCCGTCTCGGCGCGCGTCGTCAACTCCACCGTCACGCCGCCCAAGGACTCCAAGGACTCGGCGCCGGCCGTGCCGCGGCACCGGTCGCCGCGCCCCGTGGGTCCCGTGTCGGCCGCGGACACGCACTCGCGGCCCCGCAACGGGCTGCACGCCGACAGGCACGCCGACAGGCACGCCGCCGAGGAGGCCGACCAGGGCGTCCACGCGGCGGGCAAGCGGCCCGACAAGCCCGAGAAGCCCGAGAGGAAGTTCAACAGCCGCGAGCTGATCGAGAAGCAGAAGAACTGGACCTCGCACTTCTCCAAGGCCCGGCCGTCGCCCCGCTTCAACAGCGACCCCAACCGAACAGAGGTAAGGGCCGCGCGCCGCCGTTGCGCCGCCACCGCCCCGCCGGGGCTGGCAGCCAAGGCGCTTAGCCGTGCCGAACCGAACCGAACCGCCGGCGTAGATCATTTGTGGTCTGTCTAGCTACTCGAGCGAAGCCGCCTGAGAGGCTGCGAGCGGGAGTCCCGCCGGCACGGCTGCATGCGGGACTGCCTACCTGCCGGGCGGCGTGCCGGCCATTCAGGGCTAGACCAAGGCCCGTTCACAGGCCTCTTGAGGCTTGAGGGTGGTGTAACCCGGGACTCGCAAGGGACAATGGCATCGTGGAGCTCCAATCTCGGAGCTGGTGCCCCGGAGGGGAGGGGAGGGGAGGGGGTGAGCGATGCCATAGAAGCGAACGGAGGCCCTCCCAGGGGATTGCAAGCCGTCTGCCATCCTTCAAATAGAATGTATATTGGCTCGCTGGGTTGCCTCGGCCTCGTCCGGGGGCAGCTCCTTCACCCGCGCCTTCCCTGACCATGTTCCGTGGTCCCTGCTGCAGGTCCGCGTCAGCCTCAACAAATGCGACTCCGGCAAGGAGGCCTCCCCCCCTCCGAGCAGCGCCCCCGCCACCCGGAGCGCCTCCTTCACCGGCACTCGGCCCGGCGTGCGCTCCCCGCCCGTGTCCCCGCCGCCCCCGCCGGCCAAGCCCGCCGCCCCCGCCGGCAGGGCGGCGCTGGGGGCGCCGGCCACTCCGGACGCGGCGGGCTGCGGCGCCCCGCCCACGCCGCCCGCCCGCACCACCTCCGCCTCCGCCGGCGTCCTCGGCGTCCACCCTCCGGAGCGGCTGGGCGAGTCGCCGGCCTCGGCCTCGGCCTCCTCGGGCTCCGACAGGCTGTCTGCGTCGCCCGTGTCGCCCACATCGCCCGCCAGCTCGTCCAGCAGCCTGCACGAGAAGCAGGAGCAGGAGTCCCAGGAGAAGCGAGTGCCGCCTGCCTCGGCCAGCCCGGGCGCCAAAGGGTGAGTCAGCCAGCCAGCCAGCCCCCGGCGGCAGGCAACCCAACGGACGTGGACCCGAGCGCGCGCCACGCCACGCGCCCCCACAGCGAGCAGCGAGTAGCGCCACGCGGCCCTCAGCGCGGCATAGCAGCGCGGCGCTGGCAGGCAACCAAGCGCGCTGCGCCCTGCGCGCTCTGCAAGGATTCTACACTTGTTGGTCCTGCCGGCTGATTCCGAGTGTCGCTCTGTCTCCCTCCCACTCGTGCGGCGTCCCGTACAGGTGCGAGGGAGACGGAGCGACGAGAGCGACTCTCGGAATGAGGATCCTGAGGGGCCTCGACTGCCTTGACACTCTGCCGCGGTGCCGCGGTACGCGGTGGGGCGCTAGTTCGGGCGCGCTGTACTTTTCTAGCCTCGGCCACTGGCAACACTCAGTGTGTGGCTGACGTCGCGCTCCTCGGGTCCTGTCCAACTTTTCGAGTTTTTATAACTTTTTCCGACCTGCTTCTGTAATAATGAGTGTTTGTTTTGCTCGTTTAGTGTCAAACCGGCCGACGGCGCGCAGAAATTGGCGCCCCGCTGCTTAGAGAAAGAGTTCGAAGGTGAGTTGTTTATGTTTCGCAGACCTCTTTATAGGTGCCGACCGTGGTGCCGACGACCCGTTCCAGTGACTTGGTGTCTTGACCATGTCCCCCTAGTTTCTTCGCATGAGCCTTGACGTGTAGGTGGTAGAGGTTCCTTTTCAAGCAGTCTTTTAGCAATTTTGCCTTGGGTGAAGAAATCTGGTACTGGTCCAATCCCTCTCTTCATGCTCATTTTGCAATCAAACCACCGCGGCGTGTGCCGTGTGCCGTGTTTTGATAGGCTCGCGGGTGTTTGGGACGAGGGGGAGGGGGAGGGGGTGCCTTTGGTCTATTTTGAGGTCGCTAACTTGGTGGTGCCACCTCGGTGGTCGTAGTTTTCTTGGCACGCGGGACAAGTAATGGCGCTCATAATTTGATGAGGGCTCCAGCTGCCCACCCTCCTCCGCACCATGGTGCGTGCGCCCCGTGCGTCGGCCGGTCTACAGGCTGATTCCGAGAGTCGTTCTCGTCGCTCTGTCTCTCTCGCACTCATGGGGCGTCCCGTAAGGTTCGAGAGGGACAGAGCGACGAAAACGACTCTCGGAATCAGTCTGATGGTTCACTCTTCAACACTTTGCCACCTCGAGCTCACCCCCAAGCCTTGTCCGCATCAAGCCCGCCCACCTGTGTTGTCGCACCGCACGCACCGCACGCACGCCGAACGCGAAGGTGCGGAGGCAGAAGCCCTGGCTCTATCTTTTCCATTCCGCGCGGGGTGGGGGGTAGCTCCCCGTTTGGCAACGCGAGTGCCGCCACCCGCTGCGGCGCCGCGCGGAGGACGCGACGCGACGCGACGCGACTGGGCGCCGCGGATGCCGCGAATGCCTTCAAGTCGAGTTTGGCAGCGCGTCGGTGCGGTGCGGGCGGAGCGGGCGCGCGTCCACGCCGCGGTCTCATCTGGCCAGCGCGGTCCTGACGGTCCGCGGCCCGCGCTCGGCGCGGAAGGTGCTGCACACAGCGATCGTCCTCGCCGTCGTCCTCGCCGTCGTCGCGACACACGGCACGGTGGCTGTGCGACTCCGAACACAGAGTGCGCAGACGCGCGGCGCGCTGCCGGGGCGGGTAAGGTTTATGGCCTGCTTAGAGTAACGCGTGCGGGGGGAAGTTGTATTGTAGCCAACTGCCGCCAGTGTTTAGTCTAGAGCCGCGGCCGCGCTCATTTCATTGAAAAGCAAAGAGTGGCGGCAAGAGGGCCGCCGTGCCGCGCTGCTCCGGATTCGCAGAATCTGTCGCACCTGTTGGGGATCAAGGGGAAAGGGGAGGGGGAGCTGAGCTGATGAATCAGGCAATCCGCAGCACCGCAGACCCCCTCTACGAGTGGGCCACACGCGCACAGTGGGCCAGGAGACCGGTGAAGGCGGCCAGAATCCCGAACGCATTTTGAGCTCCAGTCGCTAAATTGGACTCGAGCTGAACGTGTGACCCCACCAATGGATTACTCTCCGAACGAGGAATCCATTGGGGGGGGGGGGTGTCACGCGTTCGGTTCGAGTCCTGTTTAGCGGCTTTGGGGGTCGATTACGGCGGCGTTTTATTCGGCAGCACTACCGCTCGCGCTCGTGAACACACGGTTGGGTCCGGCCGAAGCTCGGGAGCCAACCAGCGGCGAGCACGGGTCCGACAGAAGATCGCGCGTTTTAACTCACGATCGTAATCAGCAGTAGTAAAAACATTTGGTTGTAATAAGGAAATTTGAGCTGTCACCTCCTTATGAGCTGTTATAATAATAGAACTACTATTGATTGTTCAGTATGGATTCAAATTAACGCACTGCCACGGTTAGTAACGTAGAAATGTTTCAAAAACTGTTTGTTTACATCGCGAACGAACCATAACCCCTGTACGAGTAATTTAACCAATAATACACACTTTCAGAACCTCGGATGATAATTTTTGCGTGTTATAATTTAAATGCCGCCGAGACGCAGCTAAAACATCGAATGTCAATCCTTCCTCGTTCCTTGTAAATCAGACGTAAACACTGCAGCCGATTACGGGCGTGAGTTAAAACGCGCGATCTTCTGTCGGACCCGTGCTCGCCGCTGGTTGGCTCCCGAGCTTCGGCCGGACCCAACCGTGTGTTCACGAGCGCGAGCGGTAGTGCTGCCGAATAAAACGCCGCCGTAATCGACCCCCTGGAGCTCAAAACGCGTCTGGAGTTTTTGCCGCTTCCACCGGTCTTCTGGCCCACTGTGACGTGACGCGGCCACACGCAGCTGACTTCCCGATACGTAGGTGATTTCTCGCCCATCGCTTGCGCTGATCGCTGCTCTGTGCTTTCCAGCCGAGGAGAGTGGTCCAGCCGGTGTGTGGAGCACCTCGCGAGAACAAAGGGATGTCTAGGTGCAGTTTTCGGTGCGGGGTGCGAGGGAGTGGCGCGGTGCGTCGCGCCGCGACCTCTTGGCCCCTTGGCCGCGTGCCTTGCCGCCTTCCCGTAGTTCCGCCCGTAGTCAGTCGCGTTGTTTGGGTTTCGGCCGTGTCGGCGGACCAGCAGTGTTTAGTACCGCGTACCGATCCGCGCGGCGCGGCGTAGTGTGGTGTGCCAGTGTGCCTGCCAGGCCGACCAGGCCGCGGTACCGCGTTGCCCCGTTGTTGCTCGTCGCCGAGCTTCGCGTGGAATCCTTGCATGTGAACCTGCCGAACTCTCTCCCTCGCCCTTTTGGCAATCCTTTGCCAACTTGGCCAGTAGACCATCCTTGGTTGTTTGTCATCATGGATCGTTCAAGTTTTGCCATGACGAATCCCTCTAGTTCGTTTTTGCATAGTCTCTGTTTAAATGTTGTGGGGAAGTGCCTTCGCAGTTATCACACCATAACCAGTTCGTTAAAGAATTGGAACCCTAGCCATGATTGTGGAGCGACTGTTGTTCTTATGATTTGGAAGTTTTTTCGCTCTTGTAAACACGATGCCTACTTTTCTTGTGCATGTATGTTTGTAGAAAACCTTTTGGCATTGTCTACTTATAGACTTTGGACAAAGAATTAAAATTAACTGAAGTCTTATCATGTGTTTCAGGGCAAAGACACAGTCACTCAAATGGCGATGCTCAAGATCACGTTGAAAATTTGGAGAGCGATGCGCGCAGAAAAATGGTATCGTCTGTGCAACTGACTCTTCAATCACCCCTGTCAGCAACTGCAAGACTGTTCCCTTCTGCCCCGGCTTCCTCAATTTTACCTCATCAGAAGAAAGGTCCCAAAGAGATGGATTCATCATCAGATAATGCCAGAAAAGCAGTGGAAGCTCCAATTCTGCCACCCTCTGCTTTCATGTCGAGTGGTGTGACAGCCTCTGCAGTGGACGACCAGCCTCTGTATTCTGTCCCAATCAAGAAGGGCCATTCCAGGCAGAAGCCAGTTTCTTCCGCTGCTGCTGCTTCCAGCCTCATGTCGGAAACATTCAAGCCACAAGTTGTAGAAGCTCAACCACGATCAACTACATTTTCTGATGAGAAAAGTGACCATGAATTTTTGAGCTCCTTTAACCCATTACCAGCTGACTATCAATCAAAGCAGAAATCATCAATAGAGTTTCTTCATGAAGAAAGAGTTCACAATCAGCATAGTAGATTGCCTGACTCTAGCCCACGTAATTCTGTCGGCAGTGATACCTCTATACCTTCCAGCTTTAAACCAGATTTAAGTAAACCAATTGATAGCAACACAAACCATGAGGTTTCACCCCCTGGAGGATTTGGAAGAAGGAGCTCTTCTGCTGAAGTCCTTGATGAGTTCTCTCCAGGCTCCCTCAAATCCGATGTGTCCAGAGGGTTTGAATCATCAGAGACACTGTTGTCAATAGGCAACAGTGCCAGTGAGGGAAATGACTTTGACCATAACTGTGATAGTGGCATTCAGCTTGATAAAGTAAGTGATATTGACCATCGTCTTGACCTACAAGATGTGAAGTTTGCTGATGATGAAGATGAAGCAGAAATGAAGGATTCAGGCGTATTTTTGAAGCAGGTAAGTTTATAATCCCACCCAATAGGTTATGTGTATTTTTCATTACCTTCTGAGTCTAAATCAGGGTCTCTGTAAATTTTTTAAGGAACTTCCTTCTGTTGAGAAATCTGGCTGCTTAGAAGCAAAATCATCACCTCCAAAAGTTGTACCAGAAACCATGACTGCAGATGAAGCAGAAAATCTTCTGAGTACCAGGTATGACTATTATTATTTTTTAGAATTATTGAAAATTTGCTGGAGTGTTCTTGCGATACCACACTTTGCACATAGAACAGGTTTTGAGCCCCGAGAACTTCATTTGATGCTGCAGATATTTTTCAGACTTTTCTTCCGAAGTTTTGTGTATAAACAGGCTATCTGCTGTGTTACTGACTCATTTGGTACACTGGTCATTCCTGCATCAGCACGATTACCGTTTCCTTTTATTATATCAATTTAAAACTAAAGAGCCTATGCGAAAGCAGATGAATCTTTTTTGTTCATCATTAAATTTTCGACCATGTAACTATTTGACTATGAATCACATATGGACAAAGCATTCAAGCTAGATCCATTAAACGTTTATTTAGTTTATTATTTTATTTTTTTAAGATATTATTATTTGCTTTAAATTTTATGATCTGTTTTACCTTACTTTGGTTAAATGAGAGTCATTCCACTTCTTATAGAACCTGAACCCTTATGTCAGATGTGTGTATCATACACTGTAAGAACAACCACCACACAGGTCCACTGTAAGATCAACCACTGAATGTGAGACTTAAAGAAAAAAATTGTAATATTTTTTATTTATTTTTCTTTGTGTTCCTCACAATTCTTCACTCAACGCCACTCTTTTTCACCAGCATTTGGGAAAAGCGATTCCGGTGAGTTTGTGTTTTCTAAAAACCTAAAGAGATTTTTACCAGCAGAACTGTGAATTTCCTCGTGGTGTTGGTGTGTTAATGCACTGTGGTGAATTGGTTGCTAATTTTGTGTTCTATGTATTGTGGCAGCCTCAAGCTATATTCACATTGGTTCGCTTTTACTAACCTGTTGAGAACTTTGCTGATAGACTATATCCCTTTTGTCACGTAGAGAACTTCTGTGCAGTAGTGAATGAATTGTAGTGGTTGGGAATCCCCTTAACTTTGACTCTTTGCCTTTAGCTTTCCAGAACCACTTGGGCGCCCCTATGTGCCGTATAATTTGCAGCTTAACACGCAGCTACTTGACTCTCTTTTTCAGAGGAAGCCAGGTGTTTGGGTGTTGTGATATTTGTGCCAAAATGTGTTGTGGTGGTTGACAATGTTTGAGGGTTTATTAACTAATTTTGTGTGCTTTATTTGTCAAGAATACTTGTGGGTTTGTGCAAGAGTGTCTCACTTTTAGATGCAGCTGTTCTAATTTCATTCTTTTATCGCCAGTAACCTTATTAGTGAAACAAAAGTGCTTGATCAATGGTGCAAGGGATTTAAGGTGGTGGAGTTTCCATCTGCAAACATTTTTTTTTTTTTTTTTTTTTTTTTTTTTTTTTTGTAACATTATTGCGATCAAACCTTTCTCCTTTTCCTTTCTTATCATTTAAGATGTTCACGTCTTGGATTTCTTTCATGTTCCCTTTAACTTTTACCTAACATAGTTTGACAACTACTGCTTGTAGACCACAACTTAATTTTTCTATCATTATTGATGTGACAGTTCTGCACTGAAATACAATTGTAAAGTTCCATATTTGGTTCCTTTCTAATCTATTAAGTATTTTAATCTGGCAGGCAAGAAGCGTTGCTGTCTGATGAAGAAGCTCAGGAGGTTAAAAGACTTCTGACCCCAGCTCAAACCCCAGACATACTGCCAGATTCAGAAGCTTCCGAATGGCCGTCAGAGTCTGGGATGATACACAATAAATCTGCTGCTTTGAATGACTCAGTCGCATCCAGCCAGGCATGGTCTCAATCTGGTTCTGAAGCAAATCTAGCTGAATCAGAGTCTAGTGTGATTACCGAAGAAGGAGATTCGGAAACTTCTTTACTCGTTGACTACCCACCAAAATCCTGCCAAGAGGTATGTTTCCTCTAATTTTGCATTAATTTTTCTGCTAGTTACTTTGGCTAATACCTGAGTGCCTTCTCTTGTAGGTACTTGTGGAAAAGGGAGTGCATTACTATCAAGATGGGCACTTCTGGATGGAAGTGCCTGGACTTCCTGATTCGGAAGACGATGATGACGACTATCCAATACCCGTTAAGAAAAACACGAAGGTCAAATTTAGTAGTGGTCCTATAAAGGTATGAAAATGGCCAGAGGTTTCTTTGATAGCTTTAGATCATTCATGAAAAACGGTACAAGTGTCCTCTTTTTGCCTTTGTAGATGTACAGCACATTTTCAATGACTGATTATGATCGCCGTAATGAAGATGTTGATCCTGTTGCTGCCTCTGCAGAATATGAACTGGAAAAGAGAGTTGAGAAGATGGATGTTTTCCCTGTTGATCTGATAAAGGGGCCTGAGGGACTCGGTCTTAGCATCATTGGAATGGGTGTTGGTGCTGATGCTGGACTTGAGAAATTGGGAATATTTGTTAAAACAATCACCGATCATGGTGCTGCGGCCAAAGATGGACGTATCCAGGTAAGGTGCAACTAATGAATTTACCAATCTTAAGCAAAAACTCAACTTGAGAGTAGTTTACAATATTTTCAATGTGTTTATTTTAAGGTTAATGATCAAATCATTGAGGTGGATGGAAAATCTCTGGTTGGAGTTACTCAAGCTTATGCCGCATCAGTTTTACGAAATACGTGTGGCCTTGTGAAGTTCCTCATCGGCAGAGAGAGAGACCCGCAAAATAGTGAAGTTGCTCAACTTATACGTCAGTCTCTTCAGGTATCTATATCTTATCTTAATCTTAATCCAATTTTGACTTCACATGCCTTCTCTGTTCAAACCCACAATTCCTACTTTCTGACTTGAAAGGTGGTGATGATTAATAAACTGCTTTAAATACTGTATACAGCAGTTTCTTGACCTCAAAGTTTGTTTTCTTCTCTTTGCTTGGTGATCTGTGTTATTTCACTCCATCTTGTCTTCTCTTTTCAAATCAAGACTTAGTTGGGAAAAAATAATGGGTTCTTTGCATGCCTGCTGTGGTGGTGATAACCTTTTCTGAACTGTCCTTATCCCTCTAACTCTGTTCTTTCCCTACTAAAACGCTTCTCTCCATTTCCACATCCTAAGGACCGCGGATGTGTGTCACAGGCTGATCGGGAACGGGACGACCACCGGCGTCAGGTGGCAATGCGACACCAACATCAACAGCAACAACCCGGTTTGGATTCAGCCACTGCCTCTCCTCCGTCGGAGAGTCAGAGTCAGCGCTCTGAAGATAGTGCCACTGCGCCTATCGGTGGTGCATCTCCAGTTTCTTCAGAGGGTCCTCCCAGCCCACTAGGACATGGAGCTGATGAAGGAACTGCAAGTGAAGTTGCAAACCTACGAGACCTGCTCCAAGAGGTATGTTTTGACTCTTCTTTATGTGTTTACTGTGTGGTTGTTGGAGTAAATGTTCTTCTGTTGCAATTGTTAAGTTTATACTCAATGCTCTCAATTTAGAAAACAAGCAACAGGATTAGGGCAGTGGCTTGATGTAATTTTATTGTAGTTGAGAGCTTTTTAGTCATTTTTTTTTCCTCACTGTATGTTGTTGATGTTGTTATTGGCTTTGTATCATTCGCATTTCTTGCCACATTCACTTGCAGAGTCAGCAGAGGCTGGCAGTAGCTGACAGCGAAGTAGCACGATTTAGAGATCGGGTGAGAAGTAGTTTTAATGCATTATTTCTGCTTGAACCTCAATCTCTGCTTGCCAACCCACCCCCAGTATTTTGTGCCATAAGATAATAAATAGTTCTTGAACATATGGTTGTTGAGGTGTTGGAAGGACTTTGAACAGGGGGATGAGCAAATTTCTGCCTTTATTTAATCATTAAATCCAACAGTATTTACTGATTGAGTGAGAGATCGGCACAATAATAAAATGCGTGTTATCTGCCTGCAGACATGGAACTTGCTATTCCTGTGGTTCATAATTTGGCCCATGCTATGCTTTGTTTGCCAATGTTTACTTTGCACCTTAACTATATTTCTGGTTGCTATTTCTGCTATTCCATCAAGTCCAATCATTTACAATCACCTTATCATTTCTTCAGTTGATGGAACTTGAACAACGAGGGAGCAGTGGCACTGAGGAGTATGTTGAACGCCTTCGTCGAATGAGTGCAAGACTCAGAGAAACAGAGAGATCTCTTATGTCGTCCAAGAAAGATGTTTCCTCTTTTCAAGAAATGTTGGAACAGTCACAGGTACTTAAAGTTGGAAGACATACAATCTTATCTACTCTCCTTATGTTTGTCATTCCATTTTTGAGGGGAATGCACGACTGATTTATCTTCTTTTTTGTTTCTCAGGGTCAACTCTCAGTTGTGGAAAAAAAATATAGCAAGGCCAAAAGGCTTGTTCGTGAATTGGAGCAACGAGAGGCTGACTTACTGCAGCTTCTTCGAGAAAAAGACACAGAATATAATGCTCTTGTTCGATCATTAAAGGATCGAGTAATCCGTCTGGAGCAGGAGCTCATGGATACCCAGAAGCGAGGAGGATTCCCCATAATACTGCCTCATGACAAACCTGTAACCCCCCAATTATCAAGGCGTATGCAGCAAACCTCAGTGCAACCTCTTCTCCTCCAATTGGGTGCAGAGTTATCTGATACAGAAATATCAGATATTAGCCCTGACGATGGAGACAAAACAGCAACTGTGGAACGGAAGGTATTTCTATTATTCAATAGTTTTCTAGTACTGTGCATCATTTTTGAAACAATTTTATTCACTCTTGTCTCATGTTGCTGTTCAACAGATGCCTTTAAAAGAAGAACTCGACCGAGCTGTTCCACAACATGAGCTTTTGGATGTTTCTGCCTCAAAAGCCAAAGGTGAGCTTGGCCAGCGTGGTGGCCTTGCTGGAAGACAATTACCATCGCGAGAAAAAGGAGTCAGCAATAGCAGCTCTGTGAGTACTTTTCCATTGTAATATGAGAATTCAGTTGTATTTCAATTCGTAACTAGAATTAAAATCTGTCCCTTGATCGCAAATTTTAATTTAAAATTTCGATGTAGGATTATGGCCTTGAAGATAGCTGTGAAGATAGTGAAGAGGACCATTCAGCAGCACGACATCAAGTGTACTTGGAGTATTCCAGCAGAGAAGACATAAATGGTACCTCAGCAAGCCGTGAGGACATTCTTATGATTGAAAGTAACAGCATGAACAGCAGCATTAGCAGCAGTAGTAGTGCTGGTGCTAACATTACTAATCGTAATGAAACTAATGCTGCCTATCAAGCTCAGGAATCACATCAAGCTGTAACACGATCCACATCATTAGTCACATCATCGGTACCTAAACCCATGCAAACCTTCAACTCCTCATCCTCAATTAATAAAAGTGGGCTGTACACTTCAACTGCACAGCAACAGCATGTTCATTACCAAGCAGCAATTACTTCATCTTCATCTTCCTCTTCGTTACATTCTGCTTACTCACCATCCTCTGCTAATGTGCCTAGCAATGCAGGCGCTCTGTATGCACCACATTCCTCGAGTGGGCTACATTCCCATCCATCTGGTGCTCAGGCAGCTACTAATGTAGCCTATCAGGCAGCACCCCAAAAGAGTAAGACAATCCAAAACTTACCAGAACTAATAATAAATTGCTTGTTGTTGAAGGTTTGGCTAATAAAATCTTTCCCAATAGGTGCTGGACAGAGAGGACATGGGCCTCCCCCTTCATTAGCAGAGCAACTGAAACAAGTTTTAGCTGAACGAGAGCGCCGAATGTCAACAGGAGACCAAGCCAATGCATCCCGAGATGGCTCGTCCGAATTTATAGATCGAGATCCAGCAGACGCTTTAGCCGAGGAAATACGACAAGCTGTGAATGAAGCCAATGCTAGGGGTAAGTCAGTAAAATAGCTTCTTTTACGCTTAGTGTTTCTCTTGTCTATGTCATTCTTCAATGCTCTTTTTCCTTTTTGGTGCAGTTAAGAAAGCCCCTACTGGCCTCCTAACCACTCAAAGCTCCCAGTACCCATGGCAGTACCCAAGCTCTCCATCGTCAGTGTCTGTATCCTCACTGAGCAGTTTGAGTGCTGACCCAAGCCCCAGCAAGCCCACTCCTGCTGACTCTACAGAAGACCTGCTGCAGAGAAGAGGGTCTCATGTATGGCAAAATGTGCCAGTTACTGAATGGTCCAAAGAACAGGTATGCCAGTGGCTCCTTGCCCTGAGCCTTGAAAGCTGCATTCCTCGGTTTCTAGAACAAGGCATTGGAGGTGCTGCACTTCTGCAGCTAGAATCCAAGGATTTTAAGGCCCTTGGTGTGGGTGGGGAAGACAAAACTCGCTTGAAAAAGAAATTGAAAGATTTACGCCTAGCTGCAGAAAGGGAGCGCAAAACCTCAGAAAAAGAGAAAAAAGAGAGAGATCGTATGGTTCGCAAAGCAGAAAAGCTGGCTGAGAAAGCTAACAAACGTAAATAGTTCTGGAAAATTTTTTGCATGATTTCTCTACCAAATTTCATGATTTAGTGGTATCTCATATACGAACATGAAAACAATATTCTCAACATGTTGACAAGTGTATGCAACTGTTTGATGAGTCTTGTGTTGTTTCTATGTTTAAGAGTCTTCCTCAGAAGTGCCACATCCACCAAAAATTAAGCCTAATACACAATTTGCTTCCAGCAGTGGAAGTAACTTTTTTCTTATCATACCTAGAGAAGAGTGTACTTTAAGTTTTATTCTATGCAATTGTATAATTAGCTTATGGCACTAATATTAGGTACATAACTCTATTTTACTATCTGCTAGCAACCTGCAGAACCACTTTTCCCTGTTGGGCGTCTTACAAAGCAGGAGCATTCATTCCAAGAGTCGCTTAAATGGTGCCAACGTATCATTTTCCATTTGAGTCTTCATGAAGTGATTGTGACAACTTTCCATTTTGTGATATGCCTATTTTATGTCCAGAATCATTTACCAGTTAGCACAGGTTTTTTTGTTAATCCTTAAATCTTATTTGGGATGATAATAATTTACCCAAATAGCCATCTCCTCTTAGCAGTATTTGTTAAAGTTATTTTATTACCCTTGTTTGAGCTCAAAGAGACCTAGTGCAAAATTATCTGATGGTTGTTGCTTCATGGGACGCAGTGTTTAATGAAAGTGGCTGCGCAGGGAGTTGAACCCTGCTCCGTACTGAACTAATGTTTTGGTTGTGTAGAGAAAATGCTCATTTAAGTTAAGCATGATTCCAAAATGTGTGCACGTTTGTTGCACATTTCTGCTGTGTAGGAAAATTGTCAGTACTACTTGTAGGTTATACTGACCATAGAAAGTGACTTTATGTCAAATAGTATTTCTTGCCTCATGTGCTGTGTGGCAATTTGTTTTTCTAGTCATAATTATTTGGTGTATGGCATTTAATGCCAAAAGTAACAATGGAACATCATTCACATTTGACCTTGTAGAGATTGTACAAAACCTCCATTACCTGCCCAAGATTGTTCATCAGTTCTCATTATTTAACAAAATGTCAATAAAGGAAACACTATTGTACTTTCGATTTTAAAACCTACTTACAATTTATATCTCCTGATATATCATTTTATTTCATGATTTGATTTTATTTTAACGAATTTCATGCATACTTATGCTATATCAAGTGAACTATGCACCTCCTGAGATTTTTTATTTTCCCTCCGTTTGTGTGTTTTTCATAATTTGTCTGTTTCTGTGCTTAAGTGCAGCTTTTTTCAAAATATGTATTTTATTCATGGTGTCTTTATATTGTTCAATCATGATTATGTCTGTGATCTGGTGATTAGTAATTTTTTGTAACAATTGTGTATGGCATTTATTATTTATGTATTTTAAGTTAACCGATGTCACAAACGAAACCTTTTTAGTATTTTGCTATTGATCAACAAGTATGTTTGTTTCTTTTTGTTTATGTTGTACTCTGCTTTTTTTGGGAAATCATGTTTCCCCTTTCTGTACTTGTTTGTTAAAATCTTCCATACTCAATATTTTGTTTCTTAGTGATTCTGGCAGCTTACTCCAAATCTCATTGACTGATTTGATTTATCTCATGAGTGATGTGTCGTTTCTCCTGAAACTTGTTTCTCAAAATGGAACTTCATCAAGAAACTTAATTTGTGTGTGTTAATGACTCATTTTATGGTTGTGTTGTTTTGAATATTAATCATTATTGTTGTGTATTTGTGATTATAACGGTAGTCCGTATTAGGTATGTTGTGATTTTACTACTTAATGAAAGGCTTATGACATCTGGTTCAACTCAAAACTTGATATTAATTCATGTTTATTTCATAAACTATTTATCTTCTTTTGCACTGCCAAAATTATTTTCTTTGTTTCAATTGTTAATTATTATTGTTACTACAATGTCATTTTTCTGTAACAGTTCCTATCTGCTAAGAAATCCAATTTGATGGAGCATCTTGCTGTAGCCTTCAGTGTAGACCTAATTTGATCAGAATATCCTTCAAAATCTTAAGTGTGCAAGTGTTTTATATTTAAGGGTACGGTTCATCATTTGTTCATCTGCATTCATGTGTGATGTCACAATCATCTACAAACTCCTTTATGCTTCAGAAATTTGGCTTCTTGTGAGTCGTTCTCCTCCTTGCGGTCACTATGCCACAGACCAGAGAACATGATTGCAGCTCTTTCATCTGTGCCCTGTGCCTGCTGCCATTTTGACGGCACTGAAAAGTGCCACGTTCTCAGATTCTCTAGAAATGTTTGATTACGGAATACGCCATAGCTTTTTGTTTATAAACTTCTGTAGTTATTTTGTATATTGTGACATGTATGCCTGTATATGTTGTTGTTTCATTTTACTGTTGTTTCCTTGTTTGTCATTATTGTTGATATTGCAAGCCTAACTTATTATAACTCATGTGTACTCCTGAATTGTGGAAGCATTTGTAGTATTAACATTGTCACATGTATTTAATGTATGTTTGTACTGTTTGGTTGGATAATTGTGTGATATTACGTAGCTGATGGATGACAAAACAATTGTATTGGAGTGATATAAATTCAGTCCAAGAACCGAGCTGTCTCCTATTTTCCAACTACCCTCATTAGCTTGCGCCGGGAAGGTAGGCAACCTTCAACAAGCTTCACGGAAAAAGTCATTTTCCAACCAAATAGAGAGCAATTTTTATTAAACGTTATATATTTGTAACACATGTCATCCAAACGGCGCAAGCCTTTTGACAAAAGTGGTCAACCTCTTCAGATAAATCTGAAATTGATTGGGCCACCTGCTAGGGCCAATCCTTTCAAGATTGGTCAGCCCTACTACAAGGTGCCACGCCCGGGATTGTTGTTCTGGTCGTTTTGGTTCTCATTTCTTTATCCCTTCTGTGTAACAGCGCCCGGAAGGTAGTCCGCCGCTTTGACATGGGTAGAGAGAATACCATCAAAGATAGAGATTAAATAGTAAATTTTATTGGGGTAGTCAAGTTATAATTGTTAAATCTCATTCTTATTTTGTGTTTAACATTTTGGTTGCTTAAATTATTATTAAGTCAAGTTTTTGGAGTCAAGGAAAAGATTACAGTATTCTTTGGCCAGCAGATACAAAGACCAGTATTTATAGAGGAGAAAATTACATTAAATAAAAAACAATAGAATGATTTAAGATGTTCAAATAAACACTTGATGGAAAGCAAGGTTGTCAGCAAATGGAGCAATAAGTAAATATGAAGCAAAATAAAAAATCAGTCCAAATGTGATAGATATGGGGAGAGCAGGGAGGGCTTTCTTCAAGACTGCCAGCAGGAGTAAAGTCAGGCATAATCCCTAAAAAAATAAAAATAGAAGAAAAATGTTCATGTTATGTTACATCAGAAAAATCCAAAACATTAAAAAGTACCAGAAAATGTGAAGTTGAACCCAAATACCTACAATTAGGATAGCCACAAAACAGGCAAAAGTCGTATTCCAATCTCCGTATGATGAAGCTTTGCCAACCAGCACACTGTAGAATATGAAATCTCCAAGGCCCAATTTGACACCACCTGAAATTCAAAGCCAATTTTGAGAATACCATGACATAATCAATGAGAAATTTGAAGTAAGCAAAAATCCACCTACGCTCTTCATCGTCCCGAATGCGGAATGGGGTGCGACCCGCTGCTTCTCGTCCCTGATCCTCTCCTGCCTGATCACCGCCTCCCAGGCCCAACTCATTAGCAACATCACTCTGGCGGTTTGTGGTTCTGGGACGTATCTGAACCTCTTCTTCTTCGATGGCTCTATGCCTGGCTGCTTCACGCTCTGTGGCTTCTTCCCTCCAAGAAGGCACAAAACCACTTTCAGCATCCCCTGCGTACACAAAGTCAAATGTCAGTCTCATTTAGTGTGTAAATGACTGTTGTTTTTGGCTATATCAAGTTAAGGAAATTCACACTTCACAATTCAGAATACACAGATAGGGCCGGGGGGTGAGGCGGGCAGTCTTCACAATTCACAGTTACCCACCTCACCCCTTACCCTATCTATCTATCTATCTATCTATTGTGTATTGTGAATTGTGAAGTGAGAATTCACTTAACTTGACATAGCCTTCGTAACTTTTTTTAAAATTTATTTTTTCTTGGCCAGCCCCTTTTTAAGAATTTTAAGAATTTACAAGTACATTACCTTGTTGGGTACTAGGCAGACTTTTACCTGGAGAATCCATTTGAGCTCCAGAGGATGAGGCAGTAGTCTCATTATTAGCAGTGCCTACTATATTGTACACAACAGTGGCTGTAAGAAAGAGTCACCATTAGCAAATATTTTTCAACATTTACTAATATAAATTAAATGGAAAAAAATTCTCAAAATGCTAGGGTAGGAACTTACAGGAATAAATGAGGGCAGGGAAAATGTTTTCATTTCTTTCTTGAGCAGTTTCCACTAAAATACGCAAAGGACCTTTGGGAGTTAGAACAGCCACTAAATCTGAAAAATACAAAAGCACACGCAAGATTGAGACCTAAACTCTTTAACAAGAAGATCGAAGAAGAAACTATTAGCTTGATGGAGAGAACTTACCCCAAATTGAAATGACACCCAAAACTACCCAAGTTGTCCACTCCGGTAAATATTTGATGAAAACCAAAGCCATCAACGCAGCGACAAAGATAAGGTAAGCCTGCTGGAGCCTGAGAGGTCCAACCCAATGGATGCAAATCATACCCATTACGCCAAAGTTCCAAAGAACAAGCACTGCTGTAATGTGATCCAGTGCAAGATTGTAAGCACGTAAACATTCCCTGTAAACAACATAAAAATAAGAAAAATATTGTGCTTCAGAGAGTGAATTACGAGAGAAATGTTGGGCTACTCACTCCAGATACAAATAAGAAAAGATGAACAGCAAAATAAAAGATGACAAGATGAGCCAGCCATGAATCACCTAGAAATAACAGAAAATATAATAAGGCATCTGAGCTTAAGAGTTATAGATAGCAAAGTGTGAAATAAAAAACTAAATAAACAGTTGAGCACCATGTAGCAGCGATATTTGTAGAGGAGAATCAATGCAATTGTAAGAACAATGATGACCACCATGAGAATAGCAGAATTGGCAAGGGCATTCCACACTTTCGTGCTGGTAAGGGGACTTTTCTCATGAAATGGTGTGTAAACACTGGTAAACAAACAAAAATGAAAACACATTAAATTTCAATAATAGATGTACTCCAACATGACTTGAGATAGCAAACTTACAGGAAGACATCTTTCCTTGAATAGAATCCAATGGTACTCATTGTGGAGACCACAACAAGCATGCACAGTGATACGGGTACAAAGAGTTTTATGACATGTTGGGCACCATATCTGAGTTCCTCTTGGTCATTTAACCAATCCGCAGAGACGTCCCCACCTGGCCCTGGGACACTGCTTCCCCCCACTTCATTCTGGATCAGAAAGCATTCATAGATTATTCACCAGGTTTTTTCAAACGATTGCTGTCAAGTGAGGAGGACATTTGTGTTTACAACTTATGGCAGCAAAAGGGTGAGGCAACAAACAGGAAAAAAGTGTATAGTTTGAACAAAGAAGATTGTCATATAAGTAAAGAAAATAAAGTGAATACCAAAGCAGAGGGCTGGTCTGTTCTTGGCCGTTGGGCCCTTTCCTTCGGCCTCCTAGGATGACGGTCTGGAACCTCATCGGTGAGGTCTCCTCGCACCCTTGAATCATCCACGTGCCCGTCCATGAGTCCAGTTGCCTCACTTACGAACCCCGACATTCACTGAAGGCATAGCACAGAACAACTTGTTAGAAAGTGGCTTAAAGATTGAAATTCAGTCAACTACCACAACTTAATGCAATGCACAAGAGCACAATAACTACACAAAAAAATTAAAAAACAATACCGCAAAGTTAAAGTTAAGTTCAACACACTGAGGGATACATACAGACACATACAGATATAAAAACATTGATAAAGAGCACTAGTACAAAAAAGGCCATTGACAGTGACAGGAGCCGCCACAATTTTTAGGTTACAAAAATGAAACGAAACTCTTCCAGAGGAGTCGATCATGTAGGTCTCAGATAACATTCAAGAAAATCTTCTGGCTTACCAGCGCTATTAAATGTGGAATACCATCACTAAATTAAAGGAGAAGCCTAAGCCTATTTATTTACACACATACACACAACACCCACACATAGGGTTTCTCGAAGGCCCGCCAGAGCGCAGCACCGTCGACCGCTGCCGCTTTGCCTTCGAACCCCTACAATCACATTTAAAACAGAACAGTGTCAAAATTATTTCATTTCTTCCATATCTCTCCATGTATAGTTACATAATATATTTTGAGATTGGTAGATTTTTTTCTTAGTGACAGTGATAACTTGGTTTATTAGCTCTGCTCTGTGTTGTGTAAGCATAACCTAACTTCGGCGTCTGCTATAAGTCCTATTTGTAAGAATACTTTCTATGTTTGAACTTCTTTTTAACAATATTGTGTCGTGATACGACTAGTTTCTGCCCCGATGTTCATTATGTTTTATTTATGACCTTTGCGTGGATATAGTGGATTTTCTCCTTGAAATATTAGAGCTTCATGTCATGTAATTTATGTTCTATTGATTGACTTTTGATACTGAGGAAACACTTCGTTTCCAGGACGTTTGTATCTAGGTCAAAATGCGAGTCAGAGTAAGACGAAAAGCGGCTTTGGTCGCCTCAGCTTTGTTTCTGGGATGCTGCTTTGTTATTTACTTAATAATTGAAATGACAATGCTGCCGCACCATGATGACCCAACGTCTCCTCAATCTGAGCAGGTACTGAGATAAAAAGTTGAGGTTTAAATTTGGTTGTGTATTTTAAGCTGTGCCCATTAGATCAACTTTTAAAATTCTTTTTACTGCAGTTTCTATGTTTTAAACCATTTTTGTGTTTCAGTATTTGAGAGTCGGTGAAAATTACAAAACCGTGGACAGATCAGTGGATAATATTTATCATGCTCCACATAATGTGTCTTTTGCCCTGCAGTCAGCTCATTGGTCACCACAACTTGAAAACTGTCCTGCTCTCAGTACTCCAAATGCTGACATTCAGGTATTCCTAAAATTGTTCGCATATCTTGCTTTGTTTGATCAGTAAACTGAGTTTGAGTTGATTTGGTCTTTAGATGTATGAAATGTACAACCAGTTGAAGTTTGACAATATTGATGGGGGAGTGTGGAAGCAAGGATGGAATATTGGATACTCAGCAGATCAGTGGACTTCAAGAAGGAAACTGCGGATTTTCGTTGTACCTCATTCACACAATGACCCAGGTTAGATATAATAAAATTTTGCACCTTCTCTGAGATATTAGCTCACTTTATCATTCAATAATAATGGTGTGTTCATTTTTGTAGGTTGGCTGAAGACATTTGAGGATTATTATCAGTCACAAACAAAGCACATCCTCAATAATATGGTTACAAAATTATATGAGGACTCGAAAAGAAAATTTATTTGGGCTGAAATTTCATTCTTTGCTATGTGGTGGGAAGGAACGAGTGAAGAGCAACGGGTCAAAGTGAAACGGTTTGTTTCCTTATGTAAAGTAAAGGAAAGGAGATCCTTACCTTGCCCTTTGACATTACCAATTTTTAACGTTTTTGTGCTTTATTATCCAGATTTGTGCAGAGTGGTCAATTAGAATTCGTCACTGGTGGTTGGGTAATGAATGATGAAGCAAATACACATTATTTTAATATGCTGACTCAATTAACAGAGGGCCATCTTTGGCTTCTCAAAAACCTCGGGGTAACACCAAAGTATGATGAGCCCTTTCTTCCTTTCTTTCTGTAAGATTGTGCCATTTTGGCCTGTGACTTTATTCCAAAACCTTGTTTTGCCATTGTTTATTTGTAGGAATAGCTGGTCCATCGATCCATTTGGTTTGAGTTCTTCAATGGCCTTTCTTGTGCAGAGAGCGGGCATGCAGAACATGCTTATTCAGCGAGTGCACTATTCTGTCAAGAAAGCATTAGCAAAGAATCGACAACTGGAATTCAGATGGAGACAGCCTTGGGGTATGCTTGCGTATTCCTTAAGGTACTGCCTTTACTATTCTCTCTCTTAAAATATATCATTTGCAGATACTGCTGGCACACTTGACATTTTTACCCATATGATGCCCTTTTATTCATATGATGTACCACATACTTGTGGACCTGACCCAAAAATATGTTGCCAATTTGATTTCAAGCGTCTTCCTGGCTATGGTCTTTCGTGTCCTTGGAAAGCACCACCTAAAATCATAACAAAAGGCAATGTAGCTGAAAGGTACTGCTCTCTGTTTTTGCCTTATAATGATTCAAATTTTCATCTTACTCCAGGTATTGTTTATTTCACTATTTGCTTTCAGAGCTGAACTTCTTTTGGACCAATATTCTAAAAAAGCACAGCTGTATCAAACCAATGTGCTCTTAGTTCCTCTTGGAGATGATTTTCGCTATGACCATCTTTCAGAGTGGGATCATCAGTTTGATAATTACCAAAAGATTTTTGATCACCTAAACAGCAAACCCAAATATCATGTTGAGGTACCTTCATTTAATGGCATATGGAAAACTGCATTGTATATTATAACAATATTATAAGAAGTGTAACTTCTCTCTTCTTGCAACTTGCTTCCAGGCTAAGTTTGGAACTCTTGATGACTATTTTCAAGCAGTGAGAGAGGAAAGATCACAATCAGGTTTCCCATCACTAACTGGGGACTTCTTCACTTATGCAGATCGTGATGATCACTATTGGAGTGGTTATTACACATCTAGACCGTTTTACAAACGCATGGACAGATTAGCAATGAATTATTTGAGGTTTGTATTCTTTTCTGTTATTTTCTTGTATTGCTACATGGAAATCACTCTTGTTTAATCTGATTGTTTCCTTCCTTTAGGAGCGCTGAAATGATTTTTACTCTAGCTTGGAGTGAACAATTACAAACTAATATTCCAGCCGTTAACTCTGTCCATTCATGGCTCTTGACTCCTCGTTCAGCTCTACTTCAAAGATTAGAAGAAGCGAGAAGGCAAATAAGCTTATTTCAGCATCATGATGGTATCACAGGAACTGCAAAAGATTTTGTCGTTGAGGACTACGCCAGAAAGTATGTAGCTGAGCTGGGTTTTTTTCCCCCTTTGTCCCAATGTTTACCTGATTTTTTTTTTTAAATATTGAAGTTACATCGTACAGTTACTCAAGAAATAGATTTTTCTATTATTTTCAGGTTATATCATTCTATTTTGGGATGCCAACATGTCATTCAAATGAGTGCCTATGCATTGCTTGCACCCCGAAATGTGAGTGCCAGGCTGAGTGTCACTGTTGTGTTGTTGTTGCGTTTGCTAACCCTGGCAATTAACATTTTTGCTTTCTCAGGAACAAGCTGTGCCCGAAACTGATACAGTCTTTTTTAATGTGGATGATGTGTGGCAAGATCATCACAGCTTGCCTGATAGGGTTTCTGTAACACTTGGTGCTCATTTGGAGGTTGATTCACGTCGTATTGTTGTGTTCAACTCTCTTTCATGGAAACGACAAGAAGTTGTGTACCTTCAAGTTTCTACTCCTCATGTGAAGGTTAATTACATTCCTCCTGATATTTTCTAGTATTTTAAATTGCACCACTCATAATGTGTTCTGCTTTATTTCAGATTACTGACCACAGTGGAAATGTGATAAAATCACAAACTAGTCCCATCTTTCAACCTGCAGGCATTTCTGAATCAAGTTTTGAAGTTGCCTTCATCACAGATCTTAAACCATTGTCCATTACAACTTACACAGTTTCTTTATCAGAACCAAATGACAAATTTGGGTATGTCTGTCACAAAAGTAATGCACCATACTTTTTCTCAGAGAGTCTTTGATCTTAAGACAATCCTTGTGTACTTTCAGAAATAATCACTTTGCATCTGTGCGCATAATGAATGCTATGAATCAAGTGAGGAATGTGAATGATATTTTTAAATCCAAGCTAGAGCCTGATTCAAGAGAATTTAAAGTAAGAAATGACAAAGTGTCTGTAGCATTTAACTCTTATGGTCTCTTGAAAGCTGTTACTGATCATACAACTGATCACACGTCACCAGTTCACCTTGACTTTGCCAAGTAAGGATATGTTTTGGAAATAAAAAATACATTACACTGATCATCACCCAAAAACTGTATCATTATCATTACTGTTGTAACTTTTAGTATAACTTTAAACTGTCACTTCTGTTTAGATACGGAGCCCGTCTTGGATCAGAACGGAGTGGAGCATACCTTTTCTTGCCTGATAAGGAGGCCCAAGTTCTGTCTTTGGATAGACCTCTTATTAAGGTCATTGAGGGGCCTATCTACAATCGAGTGGAAGTTGATCTGCCTGGTGTCGTTCACTCAGTCACCTTGCTTAATAGCCCAGGTGAATTTCATTCTATTTAGTTATAAAGTAGTATTTTTTTTAAATCAAAATTAGACCTTACTGTCAAATTTCATTTTAGGTGTCGATTCTGCCGGCCTGGAAATTATTAACAAAATTGACATAACTCAATTTGCAAATTTTGAGATGGTGATGCGTGTATCATCAAATGTTCGCAGTCAGGATGAATTTTTCACTGACCTGAATGGATTACAGGTAAACTGGAATTTCAGTTTCTGTATAAATTGATATGGATTTTTTTGTAACTTTTAACATTTTAACTTTCCTAAGATTGTGAAAAGAAAACGATTGGCACAACTCCCTCTTCAGGGGAACTATTATCCACTCCCAAGCCAAATTTTCATCCAAGATGAACAAATGCGTCTGACTTTGTTGTCATCTCAGCCTCTGGGCACTGCTTCTCTTAAAGAGGGTCAGATTGAGGTATATTATTGTTCTAAAATGTTGTCCATAAGATCTTCTCCTGTACAATTTTTTGTCATGATAAACTTTCTGCAGGTTATGCAAGATAGAAAACTCATGCAAGATGACAACAGAGGACTTGGCCAAGGTGTGGAAGATAACAGAGTAACTCGTACTAAATTTAGACTGCTCTTAGAAGCAGTTGTGCCTGGCTGTGCAGTAAGTAACCTTTTTGACTTTTAAGCCACTTTTTATTCATTTCTTTTTCCTCTTCAAATTATGACATCAAAACCATTATGTCATTGTTGTTTTACTAATTTACAGGTCAACAATGCAGTTGTGCCCACTCCATCATTGACTGCACACCTGGCACTTCAGTCTATGCTGCATCCTTTGCACAAACTGACATGGCGTGAAAATACTTCACCCAAATTAAGTTTAAGTTACTCTCCCGTAAGCCAAGTAAGATCACCAGATTTGGATATTCATATTGTTTCTTTGCGTTCCATCACAACTCTTCCTAGCCCCACTGGCCCTGGGACTTCTGTAAACAAGTCAGATCAGGCAGTAACAGGTGGACTAGTTTTGCATAGACTCTTGATTGACCGCTGCTTCCCACTACCTTCAAATTTCCATGAACCCAAAATATGTCAGCCTGGTGATTCATGTGGAAGAGTAAGTATGCTACAGTATTTCCACCTCAAACTTTATTGTAGGAAATGTCCAGAGTTAATGACTGTTTTTCTTACATTTACAGTTTCTTCTAAGTGATCTCTTTCCTAACCATTTTGGACAATGGATGCAGCCAGCCTCTTTGTCTTTCCTTCACACTAGTCCACCTCAGGAGCGTAATCAGCCTCAACCACTCTGTGCTATGGACATGCGAGCCTTCCTTCTGTCAAAGTGACATGGAAAAAGGTGAATAGTCACCGCCACTGACAAACTAACTGAAATGTGAGAACTTCATTTTTATTTGTTTCTATCTGTAACTTGATACATAGTTACATCTTTCACTCATCAGAAATAATTTTATCTATATTGATTTAAGTGGCCAGTTACATTTTTCACCAAGTAGACATTAGTGAATGCTTCATGCCTTATGTTGATTGAATTGACTGAAGAAGGGGAAAAGGGGGAGATGTAGAAATTAAGGTACCATTACCATTTGACTATTAGGTAAATTTTTATACTTTTCCCATAGGTGGAAAACAGGTGAACATTAGGTAGTTTGCACTTTATGCAAATCTCTCCACCTATGGTTCTGTTTCTGTTCCTAGTCATAAAAAAAAGTGGTGTATGACTTTGCTTTCATGCAACCACAGTCTTCCTACCTTTTCAACTCAACCTTGTGTTTGGCGTTGACCTCTGTGTATATATAATTATGTAATTGACTGCTTCAGAGGCTCTTGCTAGGGAACTTATTTTTAAACTTGTCACACATTATACTAATGTCAACTTTACTGTTAAAATACAAATGATATTGTGTGAGTGTTTCACTACATAGCAAAGATTTTGTGAGTTTCATGTTTCTCATGTCACATGCGTTCACTCCTATGCTTTATTTATTATTGACTGTTTGACTGTGATGTGTTGTTAAGTAGGTAGTTTTATGTTTTAGTAGTGAGTATTTGACGATCAATAAAAAATTATGGGAAAGACCACTCTGCAGGAAAGCATAGGCATTTGTTACCGCGGATGTTTTGTAATAATTACATTTTAATATTTCTACAATACTTTTCTCAGTATTTTTTTTAGCCATGCGGGAAAGTAGGATTTTATCTGTAAGGTCCATAGTTCTTTGGATTATATTTTTATGAGGTCATGTGGTGATGAAACATAAGAATTGTATCAACTGTTGTCACAGGGAAAAAAAAACCACAACATAAGTGATATTTGATATTATTGTGTATATCCTACTGTATCCATCATTCAATGTGATATTATTTTCTTTCTTGTTTTTGATAAGAGAGCACATTTTTTTTTTGTTTCTGAGGTTCAGTGGTGAAGAAGGGTGTCTGTGACTGTAAGATAAAGAAAATAATGGAAGGATGTTCAATATGATATTTGAAGTTTATAATTCTGTTATAGCATTAAGCTCCTGAAGAGATTCTGAATTTCATTTAGCTTTCTTCATTCAGTGCTGAACCTATTTGTTTCTAGAGTATTCAGTATTTTTTTGTTGGCTTATACCTTATTTTAACCTCATTGTGTTGGATATCAAATTTAACAGTGTCTTCATAAAGGAACGTTCAAATGTTGTTTGTTTATTTTTCCACTCATGGTCAGTTTGTAATTTTTGTAATGATTTTAAGTTAAATTACCTGTTTTATTTTTGCTGTTCCATTTTCTTTTCTTAATAAAACGAAATACATTGTATGTTCATGATTTGACTCAATTTTTCCAAGCGTACGGAACACACAAAACTGCCTCTGCCTTTGGCTGGGTGTCTGCTCACAAAAATTTTATGCTGTTGCTGTTCTAGCGGCCCAAGCCGCAAGCTACCAATCACGCAGTAACGTAGCACGCTGACAATGTAACTTACCTATCTGCCAGTCTGCCTTACCGCGCGGCCGGGCAGCCGGGCATGCCAGTAGTTCAGTCGAGATCCAGTCCGCCTCTGCATCCTGCAGCCTTTTTTTTCCTCCCTCCCCCAAGCAGCCAAGCAGTGGCCCCCTGTGGCCTCCGAGGACTCACCTACACGATTCCCCATCGCCGAGGTCGGAACGGTTGGGCCTGGGGGATCGCGGAGCGGGAGGGGGGACTCTGGACACGCCAAAAGCCACCACGCTCGGCCCGGCCGTCCTGGCAGAGCAACATTTTTCGGTGACAGCGGCCTGAAAATTGAGCGATAGTTGCTGCTTGCCCGCGCGACTCCACCCACACAGAAACGCACAAGGGTCGCGGCTCGGCAGTCGTCCAGTTGGAATCCCTTGCGTCCAAAGATTGAGATGGTCCTCGCCGCGTCGCGCCAAAAACGGAAACCGATCCGATGGGCTGAACGAGATGGGGAGGGGGAAGGGGGTGGGGACGGGTCTCCGATTTACGCCCGTGTTGGCGGGGCGGGGCGGGGCCGGCGGGGCGGCCGGCCGTCCCGGAGGGTATCGGCGCCATAAAGTGCGTGGGCAAGGCCGTCACCAGCCTCCAGCCGGACTGCAATGCACGCGGCGCGGGGCACGGCACGGCGGCACCGCGGCACGCACTCAGCCATCCCGCATCCCGCGGCTGTACCGACCGACCACGCGCGGCCTGCACTTTATATTTGTTTGTTTGCTTGTGTTGCGCCTTGGTGGTAAAAGAAAAACAAACTTTCGGCCTGGATGTTGTAGGCAGTTGTAGGTGTCCCCCTCAGGGAAGTCATGGGGGTCATTGCACTCCGCCGAGGGCCCCGCCGTGGTGAGGGCGCTACGCGGCGCGCTACGCGAATAGAGACCTAGAGTGACTCTAGAGACTTAGAGTCACTCTAGGTCTCTATATGCGAAGGGTCGCTGCGCTGAGGGCGGCGATGCGGAGCGCGGATCAGAGCGGCCCGGGCTTCTGCCACAGCAAGATTAGAGTCCTGAATCAGTCGCAACGGACTATAGGCCAGATCGTCCAGATCCGCCTCTCCTCTTCCTCACCGCAGGCGGAGGCAGAAGGAAGCCGAGAGAAGTCGCGAACGCCCTGTCGCTGGAGCGCGAGTCCTGGAGGACTCCTTGGAGAGGGCGTTGACAGGGACCGGTGGGCTGGGCTCCGGGCGATGCCAATTTTCGGCAGCCTCAGCCTCCTCGCCTCACCGCGGTCGGGACGGTCGGGACCGCAGCGCCGAGCTGGGCGGGGCCGTCCGGTCCGCGCGTCCTCCGCACCGCTCCGCACTTGGCCGGCGCGCCGCTCGCCACGGCGGCACGCCACGGCGCGTCACTGCGTTGGGCGGCTCCAGAAATCGGCCTTTAAGGATCATGCCATTCGTCATGGCATGGCGCGAGGTGGGCGTGTTTGGGTCGAGCATCGTCCGCCTTGTCGCCGTGTCGCAACGGGCGGCGGGGCGCACCGGTGTGGCGCCGGCCAGGGCGACACCGCGGGAAGGGAAGGGGGAAGGGAAGGGAAGGCGTACCCCGGCAGCGGTAACGTCCACGCGTCCGCGCCGAGGTCGAGTTCAAGAGCGCTTCAGGAGCACCGTTCCGGTGGAATCAGTGGGCCGGACCCGCGCAGCCGCCCGCCCGACAGCCCGATAGGCAAGAGGCAAGCCACCAGGGACAATACACTGCCCACCGAATGGGCCGCAGCCCCGGCAGCCCAGCAGCCCCCGCAGCCCCCGCACACCGCACGCGGAAACTCACGACGCGACCATGGTCGATTTTGGTCACTGTGGCCGAAGAAGAGCCTCGTTCAGCAGTGAAGGGCCTCCAGAGTATTTCCTTCCAAAATCACGGGCAGTCCGCGAGGTCCTGACAACATACAACATGCGTCTGCTCATCGAAACGACTTATGCCTGTAGCACAGTAGCACGTGGAGGTGGAAGAAAGAGAGCGAACTCTGTGGGCCCGACAAAACCCGCGTTGATTTGGTGACTGCGTACTCGAAACAAATCGTTGCTTAACCTAATAACCAGCTAGTGTAGTTTAATGCACACGAACACATCGCGTTCTTTGGCACAGCAAAGTGCACCAACGCCCCCAAAACCATCGACCCAAAAAATCCTAAATCCAGAGTCCGAAATGGGGTTGGCTGCTTTGTGTTGGTGTAATGCGTATGCACGTGCCTTGCCAAAGACGCCGAGCCCGCCGCTTGGAGCCGCTTGGAGCCGCGTGGGGTGCGGTGCGGTCATTCCCGAGCCACGGCAGGCCGGGGCAGGCCGGGGCAGGGTCAGCGTTTATTGTGAGCATGACCCACAGATGTCATGGTGTGTGCCTGTGTGTGTGCGCGCGCGTGTGTGTCTGTGCGAGGAGCGTATTTCACTGCGTAAAGGCACGCCCTGACACGACGCGCACTCCCACGTGGGGACAACGCTGCAGACATCGACGCCGGACCGCGAGCGACCGCGGCACCGCGCAGCACCGCGCAGCAATCTCGGCAGCACTGCAATCCGACGGAAAAGAAAATAACGTTCTCACCAGTCGCAGCGCCTGGCGAGCGTCAGTTCAATACGCACGAAGAATCACTCCAAACCTCAAAAATAATCGGTTTTCAAAGTTCTATGGTGAACAACTCCAATTTCAGCGCAGCGCGTCTGTGAGCGCCAGAGTGGGCCGCAAAGCCACGGGTGCCTGCGCGGCGGGACTGCCTACCCGACACCCTGCAGGCGCTACAGGCACGCCACCCGCCAAGCGTGCCTGCGCGGCGGGACTGCCTACCCGACACCCTGCAGGCGCTACAGGCACGCCACCCGCCAAGCGTGCCTGCGCGGCGGGACTGCCTACCCGACACCCTGCAGGCGCTACAGGCACGCCACCCGCCAAGCGTGCCTGCGCGGCGGGACTGCCTACCCGACACCCTGCAGGCGCTACAGGCCGCCAAGCGTGCCTGCGCGGCGGGACTGCCTACCCGACACCCTGCAGGCGCTACAGGCCGCCAAGCGTGTCCGCGCGGCGGGACAGCGCAGGAGGCTCAGGGGAGCTCCTGCACCATCACTGCACTATTCCACCCCGCACTGCTCGAGCTGCTGCTGACTGGTTTCGCATGAGTTGCTGAGGCTGAAATGCGAAGCGTTCGTTTGCTGTTCCCTTGGCACGATCTACGCCGATTTGACAGGCAAAGAGCGCGCGGGTGTGGCGCTGGGAGCGCGGCGTTCGCCGAGGCGTTGGCTAGCCGCTCGCCCCCACCGAGGCGCAGTGCGAAGCGGCGAAGCGGCCCGGGTCGCGCGCCGCCCCACCGCCGCCGCCGCTGCTGCCTCCCCCACGCTCCGCGCTCCGCCCCTGCAGCCTCCGCGGTGCTCGCGGTGCTCGCGGTGCTCCGCGGGGCCTGGCGGCCTGGCGGGGCGGCATTTCCGAACTGGCCGCTGAGCCTGGCTGTGCCCGCCGTGCCCCGCGGTCAACAAGTAGTGCGCTGTGCCGCCGAGCCGCGACGCCGTGCGCGAGTACGTGCCCTCCACGACAGTGACAGTGATCTTGACGTGAAGCAGCGTTGTGTCACCCAGTGTCACCTAGTGTCATCCAGTGTCACCCAGTGTCACCCAGTGTCACCCAGTGTCACCCAGTGTCACCCAGTGTCACCCAGTGCAGTGACAGGTCCATCGCGAGGAGCACGCGTCGCCACCATGCTGCCGTCGCTAGCCATCGTCCTGGTGAGTGCCTTCCCCTCGATACTAATGCGGAGTAGAAGGCAGGGATGAATTGGCCGTGTGGCGACGTCGTGCCGTCGCGCTTGTCGCGGACTGACTTGACCCTCGAACCGATGTCAGATCGACGGACGGGTGGATTGGTTGGACACTGCAATGGTGGGGCCTCGGGGCGCAGGGTCGGTGTCAACAAAGGGTGCTCGGCGACGCTGGGCTGCAGACGCTGCAGACGCTGCAGACGCTGCAGTGGCCGTGGCGTTGCCATGCCGCACGCCGCTGCTCTCTGCCTGCCTCTGCCACGCGGCTGTGCAGTCCGCGCAATCAGGGCCGGACGCGGCGGCGCATCGTGGCGCCCATTGATGCCGCCTCCTTCCTGTGAGGACATACGGGCCGGGCGGGCCGCTCCGGAACGCTCCCGGAAAGGCGAACCGTGGTGGACTGCATCTGGCTGGCGCGGGCTGGCGCGGGCTGGCGTCAGCCCAGCCCCCTCGCTTCGTCGCGCCTTTGTCGCCTTTGTCCCAAGAGGCTGCCATAGAAACGGCGAGCCACAAGTAGATCGGTGTGCTGCATAAAGTGGCTGGTCTCGCCACAGTTAAAAGCCGTTGGGTTGTAGGCTGTTTCGTGTCTGAAGGTATCGTCTGATCCAAAAGTTTGTGGTCCGCCCGGGTCATTCCCTGCGCCGCGTGCCGCTTGGGCCGCGCCGCGATTAGCGCCCTAATTAGAGCCGTGTAAGCTGGCGTGGCTGACGAGGCGGGCGGGGCGGGGCGAGATCATGTCATTACCAATTAGGCGCCCCGCCCCGCCCCGCCCCGCCCAAGGACGAAGAAAGGCCCCGGCGCGTCCCAGGAACAGCAAGCAGGCACTCGGAGTGTGAGCTGTGTCACGGCGCTGAGGCGCGCGCGGCGCTGATGTTGTACATGTGTACCGAGAGCGCTTGTCCCACCAGTTCCCGTCTTCCAAAGCCCTTCGATCTCGGCGTTCAAGCAAAAACAAAAAGGGTGGAGTTATTATTTATTTTGTATTTTTTCGTTTTGATGGGGGTTTGCAAACGCCGAACCTATCATTTTCGCGGAGACGGGCAGGATAGTCGGATGGCCACGAGGGCGGGAATGAAATTCCGACGCTGTAATTCCGCCGGTATTTCCATTTACAGTGTCAGAGGTGGCCCCTGTCCCGTCCGCCCTGGTCCGCCCTGACGCGGGCCTGTCTCGTTTTAATTTTGACCTCCCGCGACGCCTCGCGCTGATTGGTCCAGCGCGCCAATACGTGTGATTACTGCTTGGTTTGGCCGCGGCCGCGATGCCTGGGCTCGGCTGGGCCGGGCAGACCGGTGGGCAGACCGGCCTATCTCAAGCGGTAGATAAGAAAGATGCGTGGTCCTAGCGACTTGGGCAGGCTTTGGCCTGGCGGGCTGGCGGGTCACACGGCTAAACTCAAACTGGACAGTCCGCGAGGCTGAGGCCGCGGGGCCGTCAACGCGTCTGATTGACTCAGGCGAGTCGCCCCGCGACAAATTACACGCTTCTCTCTACGCGCGGCTCGGCGCGGCTCGGCGCGGCCGCCACGCCGCGATGCGGTGCGTGGCAGGATCGGAATCTAACCGGCATTAAAAATGGCACCCATGCAAACGGCTGGCTCAAAAACGAGCACCTTCAGTTGCTCTAGAGTATGCGTGATTTTCGGCTTTTACTCGATATACCGGATTCTGTTCCGGCTCCAGGAAATCGAGGGGCGTGTGCTGTCCGCGCCTCAAATTAAAACGTACCGGCGAAGGCGGTGCCATGGCGGCGCCGAGCAGGGAGAGCAGGTTGGCCCTTCTCTGCTTGTTATGACTCCATTACTCTGGCGTGGTCTTCGTCGTTAAGTCGGGCCTATCACTCACCGCGTCTCTAGTCTCCTCCCCGTCTCCACTTCGCCCGGGCCGCGATGCCGCGAGAGGAACAGCCCGGAAAACGCAATCGTAAACGGAAAAGTAAAGCAACGCGGACCGGTGGCGGCAGCCCGGCCCTGGGCCCGGCCGCCCTGGCTGCGTTGCTGCCTTGCTGCGATCGGCGAACTGGACCGCGAGCACATTCACATTAACCCGGTCCAATAAAAACCGCGAGCCGCCTGGAGGTCGAGATGTGGGTCTTGCGGAAGAATAGGGCGATGGACCGCTCGGCCGCTGTGGGGCATTGCCGCCGAAATACACCGCGGGGCGTGGCGGGGCGTGGCGTGGCCGGGCGTGGCGGGGCGTGGCGGGGCGGGGCGTGGCGGGCGGGGGCCTTACACAACGGAAACGCATGGAGCGATGTTACGTTCGGTGGAGGCCGCGCCGGGTCCACGACGGCCGGTCCACGCCGGGCCTAGAATGGGTGAAGCTGTCATCGCGGCCGTAAAAGCCCGTATTAGGATCGTCGCGTCCGCGCAAGGAAAGAAACACGACACTTTTTGCTCTCTTGTCTTTTTACTCTGTACCTCGCGGATTCCGGCGTGTGCTCATGGTGCCGTTCTCGGTACAGCCAGCGCACAGTGCAGTAGTTATTGATTAGTCATTCATTTCGCTTTCGTTGTCCCGAGTCACGAGACGGCCGGTCGGCCAGGCTAGGTTTCCTCCCGCCGGCTCGACCAGGGCATGGCCAGGGCACGGCCAGGGCGAAGGGTCACGACGCGGCCGACGGCCGGCCGCCCGGCCCGTCCGGGGTGCGCCAGGCCAAGGGGTTCAGCGAATGGGGTGCACAAATGGCTGTCTAATTGCGCAGGGCCTACTTGGGCGCGGCACGGCGGCCCTCTCGGCGGGCAGGGCCGCGTTTGGGCAAAGTGCCGGGTGCCGGGGTCAACGCCTGCACGAAACGGCGGGGTCAGCGCGGTTCGTCCTAGTCAGTTCACAGTGGGTCAGATTTGGCGGCCTCCTCAAACGAAGCTCGAAATGGTATCAAGGATGGGAGCAAGATGGTAACGCTGTTTGATTTCGATCCGGCATGCTCGACTCGTTCGGAGACTGCAGACGGTGTCCATCCGGCCGGCCCACCCAGCACCGCGACACGTTGGCCAGTGTCCCTGCAGCGGCGACCTTCGGCGGCGACCCCTCGACTGCCAGCCCGCTGCCCCAGTGCCTCTCTTTCTGAAGGCCCCGCGGCCCGCGGCACGGCGTGGAGCGCGCCGCCATGACCGCATGCAGTTCGCCGCTTCGCCGCCGCAGCCCTCGTCGCCGTGATTAGCCGCACAGATGGCGCCTCGGCCGCGGCTTGCTCGGCAGGCCTGGCAGGCTTCGCACCTCATCTCCTCCAGGCGGGCGTGCCGCCGCCGCCAGGCCGCCGCCCGAAACGGCCCAAACGGCGAGCGGTGCAGCGCGGCCGTGCCGTCGCCTCGTTTGCTCGCGTTTAAGGCAAACCACGGCGTCGCGTGCTCGCCGGCTCGGCGTGCCTGGCGAGGCTGGGGCCCAGAGGGCCCATCCGAACCGTGCCTTCGCGCTGTCTCTCTCGCACTCATGGAGCGTTCCACGGGAGTGCGACAAAGACAGAGTGACGAAGCGGCGTTCGGATCACTGGATACTCATTGCGTTTCGCGCATCGAGAGGTAATAGACGGCCCTCCGGCCTCGAGGGCCTTGTACAAAAGGGCCGTCCTTCCAGAGTGCACTGCGCCGCGGACTGCGCCGTCGCCGCAACGCACTTGGGGACCGGTCGGCCCGGCCGGCGGTTCCCTCGTAAATCAACGTTTCAAAACCAAAATAGCCGCGCATTTTTGTGGCCTTCGCCATTCTTTTACATCGGACGCGGCGCGGCGTGGGGTCAAAGCACTGCCAGCCCTTTGCGACACGGAGTGACGAAGTGGCCGAAGTGGTCAGTCAGCAGCCAGGCCGTGCGGCCCGCGAGGGCGACCTGGCCGCGCCGAGCCGCGCCGAGCCAGGAAGGACGCCGTCCTTGGATTAGCACGCCCTGCGACGCCCTGCGCAGCGAGCCGTATCGAGTCATGTGGAGCACCTCTGGATCGCTGGGCCGCGGGGCCGCGGGGCCGCAAGCCTGGCTTGCACCCCCGAAGCCGCCAAGCCAGCGGGCACTATACTATCAGTCGCTGCAGAAACGACAACAAACCCCCGATCCCCGATACAGCACAGCCAATGTGCTGCGCGGGGACGGCCGTCGGCCGGGTATTTTAAGTCTCCTGAGTCGGAGTCTCATTCCTTTGGCGGCTGACGACAGTACAATGCCTCGACGCCGCGGACCACGCGGGCGCTATACTGTATCCGTTGACCGAAATGACACGTTCAAGTACCGTGTCCGCTGGCTTAGCCCGTATGAGGTAAGCGTCATCGACAGGCAAACCGGGCGATCAATCCGCTTTGAGACTCGGAGACTGCAGCACTCGGCTCGGCAACGTAGAGTGCAAGAGCGGAGTGTCCCGGGTGCACGACAACCCGGCGACACATTGCCATTCCATTGCCTGGACTCGCTCGCTCGCGTGTCCGCCCTGCCAACCTCGACCCGCCCCGCCGCACGCGTGCAGAGTACTACCTCCACGCGGCCCCCGTCACCGGCCTGCTGCACTCACCACACCGCTTGCACCGCTTGCACCGCTTGCACCCCGTTGCGGGCGGCGAAGCGGCGGCCGCTCCTATCCGTCCAGACGGACTTGACTTCTTCACCGGCGCGCTCGTTGCTCGTTAGGACGAATGAGGTCTGCAAATTGGTCGGCACTGACATAACGCCACAGGGATTGCGTGGGAGCGCCGCCCCGGCAGACCGGCCTTCTCATTCGAGATGAGTCGGCCCGGCCGGCCCACCCCGCAGTCCGCAGTGGACACTTTGGGCGCTGGGAGTGGCGCGGCTTGATACGTCGGCAGTAAACCGGCGTGCACTTATCGCGGCCACGCCCCGCCACGCCCCGCCACGCCCCGCCACGCCCCGCCCTCGCCCGCCACGCCCCGCCACGCCCCGCCACGCCCCGCCAACGAGACCGACATGCCGCAGCGAGAGTGCGCTGCAAAAAGGGAGCATGCAAAAACAGTGGCGTTCCTCGAGGCAG